GGTCCATATGGTGGAGTCTAGACGACGGAAGGCAGGCTAACGTTGAGCTTCGCCGTCAACGGCGCAAAGATGCGGGCCGCGCTTGCCTGCAAAGCACATGTCAAAATCTGAGGCCTAAATCGACGTGCGGTTGCTGACTGTGTCTGTTAGGCGCCCGACGACACGATTCACGAAAGACGCTCCGAGCGAGACGGACGACTCAGACAAGCTGTTCTCGTAAGTTCCGGGAATATCACCTCCCGCATGCGGCGCATACACTACAGCAGGCCATAGTAGTGTCTAAATTGTCATCCGCTCTTGAGGCATGCACAGTGATAGTGCCGCTCGACTTCACGAGAAATGGCGGCGGCCCCCACTGCGTTTATCACCTGCTGAACATCATCGTCGGGAACGATGTTTGCGACCAAAGCCCTGATATTGGACTGACGGTTCCTGCAGGCCCATCAACCTGGTCCTTTGAACAGCGTTGTGGCCTGTCCGCACGCAGGAACGTACCATGGTACTCGGGAATCTGGCTCGGTCCAGCAACCACGTCGCGTTAGAAGACCGGGGAACATGTCATGGGAAAGAGAAACCCCAGTCTGTTGGAGGCTGCGCAAAAATCTGGGGTCAGAATGCGCTATGCACTTTGAAGTTCTCGTAGATATCAAGTGATGCGCCACCTGGTGGATACTGTCTTTGTCTCGCCTCTTAATCAACCCCACTTGCATTGTGGTACAGAGCACTATCAGCGCGATAATTCGGTCGGTGGCTGCTGATACTGATGCTGTGTTACTGACATGTTTAGGCCAAATGTGGGGATGGAGGCCGAGTGGCATGAAAGTACATCAGGGCCTAGGCGCAAAGGTCAGAAGAGATTGAGCGGCTTGTGTGAAAGGTAAAATTGCGCTGGTCGGCATGTCCCGTGGATGGAAGGTACGAGTCGGCGACGAGACTTCAGGACGCAGGAACACGTTCGGCAGATGTGAGTGAAGGGTAGTGTATATGTTCATGAAGGAGTTCATGGGATTTTGTCCTGCAGGGGAGCGTGGGGAGGGCTCCGAGACGTTCCCGGGCCATCTACCGGGTCCGCAATCGCAATCGTTTCACGTGGTCTAGCTGTTCTCGGTTAGCACCAACACTATCGATCATCTCGACTCCGGGGATGCGGCCGCCCGGCAACTGCCTCTAGCACGATCGCGGGAGTTGGAATAGAGCTAACGGTGAGCTTCCGTGTTGTCCCTGATATCAATCGCATGAAGGGGATTATTGGCATCGTCTTTGTTGTTGGCGATGCGGAAGTTGCGAGTGGCTTGTCGCCCACATGTCATGAGGTGGGTGGCTCATCGCAGTACCACAAGAAGCTGATTCGGGGTAGCCTTTTCTGAATCAGCAACAAAGAATCTAAGAGGAATTCTCGAAGAGGCCTTCGATGAGCGCTACTCTATAGTATAGCTTCCTTTTCCATTAGATCTCATTCACGGTGCTGTAGCCGGCAAGAGGACGAAAAGGTGATATTGTCACAGGGCTTACTTCCGCATTCCCCGTTCATGCTAAAGAATCGCATCTTAGACAAAGTTTCACCCCAGGGACCAAAGCTTGATAGTCGATGGGACCAGGATTTCTCAACAGCTACCACCATGCTGGGCATCTCTCGGCGGCGGACGAATAGGACTCGCCATTCACATCCATGGGTTTCAATCGAGGTGTCATGTGCCTTTCGCATGAGCGGGATTAGACCGCACACCAATTCGTATATACCGCTATCGCATACAGCAATTCGCGCTATTCAGTGTCGCTTTTCGGAGATGGACGCATCTCGGTGACCGACGGCGAAAAACAATGGCGTGTGAATATGGCCTCTTTCAAATTGGCGAGGTGATACACGTCCAGAAGCGTGCATTTGGACGCTAGGTCTCACAGCCATCCTGGAAGCCACGATTTGTTCTTTCACCTAATTTCCTAACTCGAAAGTGAGGTCACGCGTGATGAATGTGGGACTGCGACACGCCGTTTGGCGGCTGTCAGAAACCGACTTCGCGCGATGATTGAGATCGAGAAAACAGCCACGACAAACGCCCACCGGCTAGAATTCACATCTTCTGCCCGATACATACTACCTCTGCGCCTAGACTGATATATTTGACCTAAGGATTCGGGGCTACTGATTAACAAAGACATCCGACATCATCACCTTTCTAGTGTGCCACGCTTTCCATTTTGACATCTGTCACACAGGATTAGGACTAGCATTCACCATCAGTATCTACCTTCACTTCGGTATAAAGCTCGTGTCTCCAACGCATCAATATCATCACCAGCACTTCACTTCTACCATCTTCACCTCTCTCTTCTACTCTTTATCTAAGATCTCCAACATGTTCAGCACCAAAACTCTTCTTCTTGCCCTTGGGCTTGCTGCTTCCTCAGATGCTTTCTTCCGCATGTCTTGCCAGGGACGAACTGTCAGAGAGCGACTTGATCCCATTGTCAACCCTGGAGCCGTTTCTGGCCATGTCCACACAATCTCAGGCGGAGCCGCCTTCAAAGCCTCCATGACCTACGCAGACACCCGAGCTTCCAAGTGCTCGTCATGCACGATCAAGGTAAGACAGTCACCTCGTTTTGGTGCTACATGACTAACGATTTGCAGGAGGACATGTCTAATTATTGGACGCCGCAGCTTTACGTCAAATACAAGGACGGATCCGGCTTTGCTCCTGTCCCGGTCATGGGTGACCCAGACGACACCAACGGCGGCATGACCGTCTACTACCTCCAGCGTCGAGGCAACAATCAGACTGAGAAACTCCACGCTTTCCCGGAGGGCTTCCGCATGGTCGCCGGTGACCCATTCACTCGCAGCTACGACGGCAGTCTTGCCGCCCAGGGCATCTCCTTCAACTGCCTTGGTGCGAACAAACCGGAAACTAACGGTTTCCCCGACTACCCATGCCCAGGTGGACTGCGAGCCCAAGTCTACTTTCCTCAGTGCTGGGACGGCAAAACCCTTGACCCTTCCGATCACAAGAGTCATATGAGCTACCCAGAGGGCAACGTATACAACAGCGGCAACTGCCCCGCCTCGCATCCTGTCCACATGATATCGATCTTCTTCGAGATCTTCTACGACACTGCCCTGTTCGCGGACCAGTGGGTAGATGGCAAGCATCCGTTTGTCTTCGCTCAAGGAGATGCAACTGGCTTTGGCCTCCACGGCGACTTCCTGAACGGATGGGATGTGAAGGTACTTCAGAACGCTGTCGACAACTGCAACGATGCCGGGGGTGCCGTGGAAGACTGCCCAGCCGTAACCATGTTCACCGACCGAGAGTGCAACGACTGCAAGATCCCAGTATCCGTCAACGAGAAGACTAGTGGAAAGCTTGCTGCACTCCCCGGCTGTAACCCCGTCACCTATGGCCCGCAACGCGCTACACCAGGAAGTTGCCCAGACAGCACCACACCATCAACAGACGGCGACTCTACCGATCACGACGACTTGACCGCCATCCAGGGCTGGGAGTACGTTGGCTGTGGCTCCGACAACGTGAGCGACCGCGCCATGAACGGTTCATGGACCTTCAATGACTACATGTCCATTGAGATCTGCGTCGACTACTGCAATGCCCGCGGCTTCACCTACGCAGCGCCCGAGAACGGCAACGAATGCTTTTGCAACAACAGCCTCAACCCCAAGTACGCACCCAAGGCCGGTATCATGGGCTCATGCACCAAGTCTTGTGTCGGCAATGTCAACCAGATCTGTGGTGGTGCGAATGCGATGAGCATCTATCACAAGTGCACCGGCGGCACTTGCCAGAACAACAACGATGGTGGTGCGGCGCCGGTGCAGAGCAAGGCCTCCGTGGCTGCTAGGTGGATGCCCCTTTCTACTCTGGCTACGGTCGCAAAGGCTGCTGCTGCTACTCCGGTGGTTTTGTATGGGTAGATCTGGGGGTGATGCGGATAAGTTCTGCAACATTCATTTAACGGCCTTGATATATCCCTTGTAGGAGTTCTTTTCTTTGTAAATCTGCAAGCGCATCAGATATATGATTGATGAATACAAAACATTCTTTCTACTTCATCGTTCTCCTGACTTGCTTTGCTGATAACCGCCTGAGTGACTTTCCATCTAACAAGAAATATCGACATTCATAGTCAACTGTCATTTAACTCAGGAGGCGCAACACTATAGCGCGGACGGATGCAAGGTACCCGGCCGGCTAGCTTGGAGTGTGGCCTAGTTTGGTTGTCAATAGCACTAGTGCGCCAGCGCCTTGATCAGAGTGGCTGTGCAACCAGGCTGGAAAGACCCGACATAATGCATCTCAGAAGCTAGTCTCGCAATTTTATATCAAGAAGGCAGCTGAAGCAATGCCCAAGAGCACAAACTAAAAAGCATGGCTCGGAATAAACCATGTGGAGTGAAAGATGCTGGCACAGAATCTACTTCGTGAAAGCGATGTCATAGTCTTCGCATCTAAGCAAAATGCGTCCAGACCCTTATCGAAGCTTATTTTCCGAGCCAAGTAGTTGCTGTTGGTGAAAGCGTCTTAGCTCCGAGCTCCGAGACGGCGGTAACCTGTCACTCCCGTCATATTGCTTTCCCAGTATCTCCCTCTCAGACGCACCATCTTCAACCTCATAGGGATCAAGCATTCCGTGTTCTTGTAGTTCGAATTCGAAGTCTTGACGCGTTGCCGATGGTCGAGTTGCTTCAAAACTTTCGACAAAAGATGGGGCGACGTGCCTGAGGAAGAGCCGCAAGGTTGGGAGGGAACCGGTGATGATGATAAGACTAGCTTCGATGAGGCTAGCGGAGCTTGTCAGCGAGGGATGCAAAGAGCTGATGCTCGGCGAAAGCCGCGCACTTACATCCACAGACTAGGGTAAACAGTGTCCCAAGAGGCGTCTTTGGAAGTCAACATTGGAGGAAGTAATGCGACGCGCACCGCACTCGTCACGCATGTACTAGCATATGAGTCAGTCATACTCGCGTACCTGGAGCTGGAAGCTTACATCGAGCCAACACCGAAAATACCTATCACCATGATCTTCCGCTCCTTCGACATGTGCAGTCGCAAAACCATGGGTATAGGTAGGATGATGACCATGATATCTGTGATGATGTTCAGTACCCCATTAGCGATGTACAACGCCGCTTTGTTCAAGCATTGCCCTTCTGTGACGGTCACGTCGATGTTCTTTGCAAACGGTTCGCATGCTGCGAGTAAAGAGATGACGATGCTGACAGAGGATCCGACGACAACGAATATGGTGAAGTTGACTCCAGCGCGGAAGCTGCGTGCGGGGCTCAAGTTGAGATAGAGACAGAGGAAGGACAACTTTGCGAAGGCGAGAGCTGGCGAGTACAGCACAGTGGTCGTCAGCGTTATCTAGAGTCCTGGAAGTCAGCGAACGATGCTGCCGAGCTTGCCGACGGGAGACCGACTTTTGCGATAGTGTTCAGTTGATGACCGGTAAGTTCCCAGGCATGTACACCGATCAAACCTGCGGGTGCCCTATCTGCGATGCTGTTGTTAATCTCGTTCTATAGAACGAAGAAGCAACGGGCAGAACTTACAAATGATGAGTGACTGTACAGGTATGGCAAGGACCTGCCAATCGACGACCAGCTCATGTCAGCCATGAGCTTTCATCGACAGAAGAATCGTGACCACCTACCCAGGCAAGGAGCAGGCAATCTGGCGCAGCTGTTAGTAAGGATGCACTGCGTGGATGGGGAAGACTTACAGTCGTCAGACGACAGTTTCTTAACTAATACAACTTTGGTGTACGCTCGAACAGCCAACAGAAACGTGGAAATAACCGTTCCCACGATTCCAATCCAGAGGATAATGAGTTCACCTCGTCTTTGTGGGTTCTCGAGATCTACCACATAGTCGTCTGGTGCGGGTACAATTGGCTGGGTGAGATCCGCCATCTTCCTGCGAGATTGCTTGCTGTGGAGGCAGCCCTCAGTTGGGGTGCATTAAACAGCAAGACGGGGGCATTGCTTCGATTTGAGTCTCACTGTCTCGCAGGATTCGAAACAAGCTGATTTGGTAGATCCAGCCAAATGGTAATCCACCTAAGCGAAGCAGGTTGATTGATCCGGACATTTCATGTGCCGCTATTGTGAGCGAGGCTGAAAGCATAATGCAATGCGTCCCGTCCATACTGTCCCCTGTAATGGCAATGATGAATCTCGATCTAACTTTATCGATAGCGCAATCCTTCCGACTCAGCTTGCAGGCAACGCGTTGACTCCCAGTATCGTCCATCACATCTTGGTGCGCCTGTCTCAAGGTCATCTCCATCGAGTACCTAGACTTTACTCGTATCGAATTGCCTTTCAATTACTACAAGGCGATATACGGTGACTTGAATTAGAGGTCCCGATGTGTCGCACAGCCGAACTGCCGTGGCATTGCTGCCACGCTGCTAGGGAAATCCTGCGGGACCAGGCCAGGAAAGGGGAACATGCGCGAAGGATGCAGGCGAACGAGTTGCGGGTCAATCATCGACTCAGCCGTGTCGGTACTCGATCTCATTGGATCGAGGGTTGTGTCGCTTGATAGACGGCAGAGCCGAAACGGTGTTATTCTTCCATGGGGATGCCGCCCGCAGCCGTGCTTCTGTGGACGCCAAGAGATGGCCGCGCGTTACTTGATTGGAACTAGCGCGAGCTCCATTAGTAAGTTTCTCCGATGGGTGCTGCTCCTGCCCTATTCTCTCCATGAACACGATACCTAGACTCGCCATAAACCCCACGGCAGACTCCAGATTCGATGTAGTCGAGTCAATGCCGTCGGCACGGAGGCATCTGCCGCAATGATTCAAAGAGCGTAGAGATCAGTTTCGGCTGCAGCCATCCGCGACCTTGCAGACTCGGTCAATGAGCTTTCACATCTTCGGCTGGCATCTGGTCCACCTATGAGATCAGTATCAAAAGGCTGATGATCCGAATTGTCACAAATTTCTGAGCTGTTTCGTCCTCGTTAAGGACCATTCACCGCCTGTTCTTGCATCATGTTTTGTCTGAGCTTGGCCCTGGCCGCCGCGACCCTGCTCAGCGTAACGCGCGCCCAAAACGAATCCTACTGTGTAAGCTTCATGTTGCCCAGTGATGCTGTTCTGACTTTCTTTAGTGCACAGCTCTGACCCAGAGTCCTGTAGCCAAGCGCGTAACCTACCCTGGTCAAAATGCGTACGACGCGAGTATCGCCTCTTATTTCGATGGAAAGAGCAGACTGTCGCCCAACTGTATCGTGCAGCCCAAAAACGCCGAGGAAGTGGCTACAATTGTCAAGGCTCTTACGACTGCCAGCATACAGAAGACTTGCAAATTTGCCGTACGATCTGGTGGCCATACTCCGATTCCTGGCGCCAACAACGTCGACGATGGCGTCACAATCGATCTGCTGAACATGAATGGAACCACCTACAATGCTGATTCCGAGGTAGCAAGCATCTTACCAGCGGCGAGATGGGGCTCTGTCTACGCAGCTCTTGAGCCATTAGGACGTATGGTAGCCGGAGGCCGAGGCAGTACCGTCGGCGTTGGTGGCTACCTACTAGGTGGTGGGATATCTCACTACGCACCTCGCGTTGGATTGTCTTGTGACAACGTGATCAATTTTCAGGTCGTTCTTGCCGATGGTCGCGTTGTAAATGCCAACAAGACGTCTAATGCTGATCTCTTCACTGCTCTCAAAGGGGGTAATAGCAACTTTGGCATCGTAACGCGTTATGACATGGAGACATTTGAGAACGAAGATCTCTGGGGAGGTATCGTCTCGTGGCCTGCATCCACCGTCAGCCAGCATTTCAAGTCGCTTGTCAATTTTGGTCTCGACCCGAACAGAGATCCAAACGCTGCTCTGATCCTCTTCCAAGGATACTCAACAGCGAGTCCCGTGAACGTCGTACGAGCTGCGTTCGATTACACCAAACCCGTGGCTCGCCCGGATGCCTACAGCGAGTTTCTCGCCGTCAACAACACCCTCAGCGATTCTACCAAGATCCAGCCAATGAACGCGATTGCTGCCGAGTTTGGTAGTGACACAACCAAACGGTACGTTTTCCCACTGACTTCAATGTGCGATTGTCGCTAATACAAGCAACTAGAGTTCAATTCCGTACCCTCTCATACAAGATTGATTATGAGACTCTTCAGGAGACAGCGCGTCTATACGACATCATGCTGACGGAGCTTCGAGCCAAGGCCTCTGGACAATGGCGCATCTCGTGCTTGCACCAGGTCTTTGCCACAAGCTACACGGCGAACAGTACAGCCAGAGGCGGCAACGTGCTTGGGTTGGAACGCTACACTGAAAATTTCATTATGTATCAGTCATACCTACTTTGGTCCGAGGCGAAGGATGATGACCTGTTCATTACTCAGGGCAAGATGCTGACCGACGGCATTCAGAAGTTTGCCACAGAGAAAGGCACAGCGGTGGAGTACCTGTACCTCAACTATGCCGATAAGGACCAGGATCCACTTTCGGCTTATGGCGCTGACAAGGTGGCATTCATGAAGAAGGTCGCGAAGAAGTACGACCCGACAGGCGTCTACCAGAGTCAATTGCCGGGCGGGTTCAAGATTTCTCAGGTGTAGGATTAACAAACCTACAACAGCCTACAAACCTCAAATAAATTACCCGATTAGGAAGGTGGCAGAAAGCGTCGATCATAGCAATGTGTCTTCTTGCGTTGCACGTCGTGGAGGGCCCGGAGACCTTGCTGTCGTCGGCGCGAGGTTTGCCATGGACGCCCGCTATGGATCAGTACGTAACTTCACTGGTCGATCGAATCGGCTTCGCGTGGAACTGAAAGCTCGGCAAACGGATCAGTATGATGGCTTCCTTGGAATCATGTGCAATCTGTTTTATTCCAAAATGAACTTGTGTTGTCTTCACAAATATGTTGATGTTCTATCGAAGGTGGTGGGCCTCGCTGCGTCGGAGTCGTGAGCGGCTGCCCCGCGCAGCTAGCGACGCCAACCTCGTTGCGTCGCGTCGCGTCGCGACTTACAAACCTCATTTAGCTGCAATGACCTGATCCGCTACATGCTGGCACAACTCAACGGCCGGCTGTTTCTTCAAGATGACGAACACAGGAACCTCAACGCCGAATTGCTTGAGGAACCAGTACCGCAGCTCAACCGCAATGAGCGAGTCAACACCAAGCACATAGGCTGGCTTGCCTACGTCGAGATTCTCCGCCGGTATCGACAGCGATTTACTCAGCTTTCCAAGTAACGCCGACGTTACAATCTGCGCAGCCTCCTTCGCACCAGCGGCCGCCTTGATGAGAGCGAGATAGTCGACGGTTGCCGCCTCGCCTTCGCCGCCAGCCCCGGTGCCGTTGACCAACTCGACCTGACCCAGACGAAGGAGATTCTTGAACAGCGGCTTACCCACCCAGTGCAAAACGCCGTCTTGGAACATCCGATACAGCTTCGAAGGCTTATCATGGATGTTCACCACCTGCGCTGCGCCGCCGGCGCAATCGTAACCGGGATCACACAAGACATCCAATATCGCCATTAGCTGCTTCTGCGTCAGCCCACCCAGCCCAGCGCGCAGACTCTTCGTCACGTCCTCAAAGTTGTCGCTCGCCCACCCAGCCTCTAAGACCAAGCCGAGATCGAACGAAACGCCTTTCAGCCCACTGGCGGCACGGTGCCGCGCGAGCGCGTCTTCGAAAGTATTGCCGGCTGCATAGTTGGCTTGCGCGGGGTTGCCGATGATGCCGCTCATGGAGGAGAGAAAGACCATAAAGTCCAGATCCTTGGGCAGGAGTTCGTGAAGGTTCCACGAGCCTTGATACTTGGGCGCCAGGGCGCGGTGGAATTGCGAGACGGTCATGTTGGAGAGCATGCTGTCCGACAACACCATCGCTGCCTGGATGCAGCCCTTGATCGGCGGCAGCGTTTTGCTAGCCTCCTCGAGGGTGCTCTTGAGGACCGCGCGGTTGGAGATATCCGACGCCGGGGCGTGTACTACGACGCCTTGGGCTTCCATCTCCTTGATGAAGGCGATCACATCGGCGCGCCCAGCTACGCCTCGCGACGAGGTGACGAGGAAATGCCGTGCGCCGCGGGACGCCATCCAGCGCATGATCTCGCGCCCCAAACCGCCCAAACCACCGCTAATGACATATGTAGCCTGCTCCTCAAATGCGTACGCCGGCTTCTGCGCGGGCTGATACACGACCACATCTCCCGACTTTTCGAAATCGATGACGGCCTTCCCTGCAATCTTACCGCCCTGCAACGCGCGCATCGCTTCCTCAATCTTACTCGGCGCAAACGCATGCAGCGGCTTGGGATTGTGGAGCCCAGGGTTCGCCGCGAACAGACTAAAGACGTCGTCGAGCACGAGTTGCATCAGGGGCTTGTTCTCGGCGTACATACCCGCGACGTCCACGGCCGCGAATGTGACATTGCGCAGGAAGTGGCCCATCTCAAGCGTGTTGTTGGCGAGGATATCGGCTTTGCCAATGTCGATGAAGCGACCGAAGGGCGCTGTGCAGTGCCATGAGTGTTGGAGAAGTTCGCCTCCTAGAGAGTTCAGGACGACGTCAACACCGCGGTTGGCCGTGGCATTGAACACATCGTCGACGAAGCTCGCCTCTCTGCTGTGGAAGATGTGGTCGTCCGCGAGGCCGTAAAGCTCCCTGACCAGCTGGCGCTTCCACTCGCTTCCAACCGTGACGAACACCTCCGCCCCACGCAGCTGCGCGAGCTGTATAGCAGCCTGCCCCACAGCACCAGCTCCAGCGTGGATCAATACACTCTCGCCCTTGCGCAGCCGGCCTACATAGTCGAAAGCATACACAACCGTAGCCCATACAGCAGGAATGGCAGCCGCATCCAAGAACGAGATGTCTTCGCGTGGGATCCTACGCGTCGATGCCTCGTCGCAGCGTACATAG